AGAAATAGAAATCCCATTTGACCCAGCAATCCCATTACTGGGTATATATCCAAAGGACTATAAATCATTCTACTATAAGGACCCATGCACACGAATGTTCATTGCAGCACTGTTTACAATAGCAAAGACCTGGAATCAACCCAAATGCCCATCGATTATAGACTGGATTGGGAAAATGTGGCACATATACACCATGGAATATTATGCAGCAATCAGAAATGATGAGTTCGTGTCGTTTGTAAGGACATGCATGAATCTGGAGAACATCATTCTCAGCAAACTGACACAAGAACAGAAAATGAAACACCGCATATTCTCAGTCATAGGCGGGTGATGAAAAATGGGAACACATGGACACAGAGAGGGGAGTACTAAACACTGGAGTCTATAGGGGGGAAAAGGGGAGGGCTAGTGGGAGGGGGAGGTGGGGAGGGATTGCCTGGGGAGAAATGCCAAATATGGGTGAAGGGGAGAAAGCAAACAAAGCACACTGCCATGTGTGTACCTATGCAACTGTATTGCATGCTCTGCACATGTACTCCAAAACCTAAAATGCAATAAAAAAAGAAAAAATGCTCATCATCACTGGTCATTAGAGAGATGCAAATCAAAACCACATTGAGATACCATCTCACGCCAGTTAGAATGGCGATCATTAAAAAATCTGGAGACAACAGATGCTGGAGAGGCTGTGGAGAAAAAGGAACACTTTTACACTGTTGGTGGGAGTGTAAATTAGTTCAACCATTGTGGAAGACAGTGTGGCGATTCCTAAAGGACTTAGAAATAGAAATTCCATTTGACCCAGCAATCCCATTACTGGGTATATATCCAAAGGACAATAAATCGTTCTACTATAAGGACACATGCACACGAATGTTCATTGCAGCACTGTTTACAATAGCAAGGACCTGGAACCAACCCAAATGCCCATCGATGATAGACTGGACTGGGAATAGGTGGCACATATACACCATGGAATATTATGCAGCAATCAGAAATGATGAGTTCTTGTCATTTGTAGGGACATGGATGATTCTGGAGAACATCATTCTCAGCAAACTGACACAAGAACAGAAAATGAAATACCACATATTCTCACTCATAGGCGGGTGATGAAAAATGAGAACACAGGGACACAGGGAGGGGAGTACTAAACACTGGGGTCTATTGGGTGGAAAAGGGGAGGGCCAGCGACAGGGGGAGCTGGGGAGGGATAGCCTGGGGAGAAATGCCAAATGTGGGTGAAGGGGAGAAAGGAAGCAAAACACATTGCCATGTGTGTACCTATGCAACTGTCTTGCATGTTCTGCACATGTACCCCAAAACCTAAAATGCAATAAAAAATTAAAAAAAAAAACCTGGAGTAACAACTTCGTTAGTCATCGAGGAAATGCAAATTAAATCTGTGACTAGATACCACTACACATTCAATAAAATGCCTAAAATCGAAGACTGGCAAAACCATGTGTTGGCAAGGAGGTGGGAAAACTGGAACTCTCATACACTGCACAAGGGAGTGAAAATTGGAAAAACCACTTTGAGTGACTGTTTGGTAATATCTACTAAAGCTAAGAATGCACATATCCAGTGACCCATCAATTCCATTCCTGAGTATATACCTAAAAGAAATCAGTGGATTTGTGCACCAAAAGACATGTACAAGAAAGTTTATAATCATATTATTCATGGTAACCCCAAAATGGAAACAATTCAACAATAGAATGGATAAATTAATGGTAGTATATTCACACAATAAAATAGCAATAAAAATAACCAACTGTCATTCAGGGAGGAGCACAGATCTCACAAAAATAACAGTGAGTGAAAGAAATCAAACACAAAAGAGTGCATGGTATTTTATTCCATTTATAGAAAGTCCAAAAACAGCCAAAACCAATCAACACTGTTTGAAATGAGAATCGTGTTGTCTCTGGCCATACCACCCTGAACCACCCTGAATGTGCCCAATCTCATCTGATCTCGGAAGTTAAGCAGGGTCGGGCCTGGTTAGTACTTGGATGGAAGAAAGGAGGATTGTGGCAACTATTAGATGAAGTAGTTAAGGCGCATGGGCACACTGGGGAACTTCTAGGGTGCTGGTACTCTTCTTTTTCTTGATTTGGTGTTGATTACACAGGTATGTTCACTTCGTAAAAATGCAATTTGTATGTATGTCATACTTCGATAAAAAATAAAGCTTATAAACAGAACTCTGCAGCATATTCTACTCTTTTGGTAGTGTCTCCTAAACTTACCTGATTATAAGAATTTCTTGGTGCCCTTGTTTAAAAATGTAAATTTCCAGTCTTGATCCCAGACCTGCTGAATCAGAATCTATGTGCATGGGGGAGTGCAGAGAATCATCATTTAAAAAGCAATATTCTAAGCATATCCTTGGTATGAGGCAAGTTTTATAAACCTTGCTCTATAACATTCAAGAATGCTTTAGTTTGCTAAAACTTTCTTATTTGCTTCCCAGTGCTGAGTTTTGATGTCTAACTACCCAGTGCTTTGTAGGGATAAACTGTCTACAAGGTCCTTTAGAGAGCCTTAATTTCAATCTTATTCTTTTAGAGTAGGAACAGAGACCCATGTTAATTTTTAACGTACCCAAGATTGTAATAAAAATGTCAAAACGAAATGAGGTGTGGCAAGAAAATATCTGAATATGGTTTTGTATCCAAAGTGATAAAAGATCCAATTTATAAAGAATGCACGTGCCCCTGAAAATACTATGGCAGAGACAGTAATGTCCTTCTCCAGTATATAAAGAAAGATCAGGGACTGGGGAGAGATTTTCAAATGCCTTGGGATAGAGAAGTAATCAGAATGACCTATGAAACCAGGTGGTTAACATTAGTATGATAAAGGATTGGAAGCACTGATTGAGATAAATTCATACCATCGACCCAGTTCACACTAAACCAAACAAATTAAAGATGCCCATAAAATTGATAGGATTTATGTGAAAGAAATAACAAAAGTTTTGCAAAGTGCACTGCAAGTTGTCATCATTTCCAATTATGCTGTGGCAAGAATGTAAATTAAATTCTTACAAGACTGGGAACTTGGAAGAGGTTTATGTAAGCTGAGAAAATTCCTGCTCTTAGAGGAATTAGAAATAAGAGGAATGATTGATGCCCTGTAAGCCCTGTTTACCTCTGACCATGTCACAGCAGGATATGTGTGTGGGGGGAAGGGTATTTAATGTAGGTTGAGGGGGTTGTTATGTAAAGAGCATTCTTAGAGAAAAAATAAAGCAAAAGACTCTGAAGAGAAAATAGATCTAGTCTTCTGTAGAAGCAGATAATGAGAGATACTGGACAGCCACAGGTAAAGAAGGAAAGCATGAGCATGGCTCAAATAACATATTATCTACAGACCTCCTAGAGCTGTGGTCTTCAAACTTCAGTGGGTAGGAGCATCAACAAGACTCTTAGGAGTTTGTGAAAAATATTCTTATGCCCCTCTCCCAGGGATCCTGATTTAGCAGGTCAATGCAGGGCACAGGAAACTGTATTTTAACAAAAACACTCCCCATACCCCCACCCCCACACGTGTACATCATGCCAGGGAGTTTCTGTTGCACACTAAAATTCTCAAACTATTAATACTAAATCATGCTGTAGCCTGGGGAGGATGGTGAAACTATGGCTAGTGAGAAATTTCCAATTGCCCCTGTATCCACTTCCCCCATATTCAAAGTCCTGGGAAGGAGCTAAACACCTAGGTCACGTGGCTGAACCTAGGTCATGTGCCTGTAGTCTATCTGTTGGGGGCAGGGAGTAGGAATGTTTGGCTCCTCTTGGCCTCTGTAGTGAGAGGCAGGGCCTTTTCTTCCATCAAGATGTATGCAATGGACAAGTCCCTCAAATTGGAAAGGGATTCATATATTATGCAACCATAAAAAGATATGCAGATATTTAACACAAGGAAACAATGTGAAAACTTAAACAAATTGTTGAAGAGAAGAAGAGTCCCTAGGTTAGGTGGCCATTTTGAGATCAGTAAAATCCGTATTTTGAGATCAGTGGACCAACAATTGATATGAATTTAACACTCAAAGACTCTGAGACTCAGAGAGGTTAGCATGACTTGCTGAAGGTCACTTACTAGAAAGTAGCAGAATAAGATTAGTCAGACTCTATGGAGGAAGGAGGATTTCAGCTGGACCTCAAAGTAAAAAGGAAAATTTGAAAACAGCAGAGAAGAATGTGGTATTGGGGTGAGGAAGGAAATCCGGGATTGGGGCACCTTATGAGTATAAGAATGAGGTAGGACTAATAAGGTGCATTCAGGGAAAACTGAATAGCTCAGTTTAGCTTGACTGGAAGACTTGTACAATAAAGAAGCAGGATGAGACAAAAATAGACAGGAGCCAGATCCTAGAGAGCCTTGGATGAATGTTTTAGGAAGAATAAACTGGTCAAACTGTATCAGATTGCTTGGAATCTGGATGCAGGGGAACAACCAGAGGGGGGAAAAAAGGAAACAAACCCATATAGTGTATCGAAGCCAAAGCTCTAGAGTCAGAAGGTCCTTGGGCATGTTGCTTCAACTCTCTTTGTCTCATTTTTGCAAATCTGTAAGATAGGGTTAATAGCAATATCTAACTCATAAGGTTGTGGTGAGAATTAACAAATTAATAATGGACTTGAAGGCTAATGAGTGTATTAGTCAGGGTGGTAGCAAAAAACAGATGGCACATTCATATTAGACAATTTAGGAAAATTTAACAAAGGACTATTATGAAAGATGTGGGTAGGGTGTAGGAAAATCACAAGGGTTAGTAGAGGACCCCAGATGAATAATGGTGAGGTTATTACTACTCCTACTGTAGGAAGGAGGAGAGGAAGTGGGCAAAGTTAGTTGATGGGAGGGGGAGATATTGAGAGAGTCATCTATTAAGTACTGTGAATTTAGCCATCCCACAGAGACCCTGAAGGGAGTGAGCTGAGTGAATAAACACCCTGACCTTATTCACCTTCCTCTCTCAGATCCCCTGCCAGGACGTCTCAAAGGTGGAATACAGGAAGCCAGGCTATAAGAAAGACCATTAATGATGTCAGTTTCCCAGGGCACAAAGCATGAGGAAAAGTATGGAGAAGGATGAAGAACAAAAGTGGAAAAGCAATAGGTAAGTATCTGATAATCAATGCGGTGATTGAGATTTTGGGCCTGGCCTGCCTGGCCCCAGGTCTTCTGGCTTGCTGGGGTCATCATGCCCTTTGGAATTTAGGAGATTCTGGGGAAGGCTTGATGCTTATATTTCTGTTGGTTACTTCTATCTGTGAGTTTCTATTTCCATCATGTTCTTATTACCTTCTCATGCCTTCTGGGTATGTGAGTCCCTTTTTGCACAGTGTCAGCCTCCCACTCACTCCTTGTTTCTTCCACTTCCCCATTTACTACCAGTAACTGTGTGTGCACAGATTTTACTCAAGGACAAAGTACAGTCAGTCCTCCATACTTGTGGATTCTGTTGTTCATGAATCGACTCCAGATCAAAAATATTCAAAAATATTACCTTTGTACTCAACATGTACAGACTTTTTCTTGTAATTATTCCCTAAACAATACAGTATAAAAACTATTTACATTGTAACTACATTGTGTTAGGTATTGTAAATCATCTAGAGGTGAGCACTAAAGTGTACAAGAGGATGTGCATAGGTAATATACTAATATTATGCCATTTTATATCAGGGACTTGAGCATCTACAGATTTTGATATCCACAGAAGGAACTGAAACCAATCCCCCACAATACCAAGGGATGACTGGACTTGCAATGAAATGGTAAACAACTTGAAATTAAATAGTGGGCATCTCTAACCTTAAAAGTCCCTTAGGCATTATACTAGGCCTTGAGTTTCACCGATGTTGCTCAATTCTCGTTCTTTCTTTTTTGATCTTCTCCATACTTTCTCTCATATTACAAATCCCCAGACCAAACCATTATTGCTAATTTCTCAAGCAGAGGAGTTTAGCTCTAGGTTTATTCCAACCATGCCCCAAGGACAATCTCTGAGCAATCAAAATGACCCATTAAGGCGTTTTAACTAAAACAAACACAGATTCTTCACCTAAGAGGGAATGAATAGTTATTTAGCTCTTAAACTGACACTTTTATTTTCTACCCATTAGTTAGTGTTGCTTTTCAGGCGTGAATTGATGAGCACCTGGTCTGATAGAGTTCTAAAAGGATTGAAAATAAAGGGACACATGTTGAGGTACACTAGAAAAAAAAAAAACCAACAAACTGTGATGACTATCTAGATGTGGATGAGAGCCCAAGAGAAGGAAGAGGGCCATCGGACAACAGGGTTTGCAGCCTGGGTCTTGATGCTTTAGGTTTAACTTTGCTGCAGCCTGCTGAGAGTTATGCCATCATTTTCTCCAACAAGTGATTAATTTGACCACCATGAAACATTATGGCAAATCTCTCTCTCTCTCTCTCTCTCTCTCTCTCTCTCTCTCTCTCTCTCTCTCTCTCTCTCTCTCTGGTGTGTGGGTGTGTGCGTGCATGTGTACTTAGTGGATTTAGCATGAATGAAGAAAACTCTCCTCAGGCAAGCCTTAATACTAAGACCTGCCTATCCCTTCCCTTGCTGAAACTCATACTTTTTTATGCTCTGTCCCTGTTGGAAGGAAATCATTATCAGGCCAGTTTCTGATCTCTCACGGAGACATAAGGAATCTTTATGACCTCACCTATTCCCTTCATTAAGAGTAAGGTAGCTTCTATCCCAGGCTATGCCTCTCTCTTTAGTCTCCTTCTCTCTTCCCTCTCCACCTTTCATTGCTGCCATTTGTCCTCTCCCTCAGTTTATTGTCCTCCAAAAGCTAGAGAAGGGGGTCTGGGCCACAGTCACAGCTGCTTTAACCCACATCCAGTTACCTAAAAATCACCCAAACTGAACCCTGTTTCCTCAGTGTCAAAAAACTGTTTTGTTTTACCATTGATCCTGAAGCACTGCAAGGGACTAATATCTCATTGCCTTTTTAGAAAATACTTGTATATGAATAACTGTATTCACATACCATAAAATCCAGTATTTAAAAGTATATAATTCAGTTGCCATTAGTATAGTCACTGACTCTAATTTCAGAATATTTTCACCACTCACCTGAAAAAAAAAATCCATTAGGAGTCATTCCAATTTCTTCTTGCAGCCCCTGGAAACCACTAATCTAGTTTTTGTCCCCATATAGAACCTATTTTTTTAATTTTACTTTAAGTTCTGGGGTACATGTACAGATCTTGCAGGATTGATACAGAGGTATAAACATGCCATGGTGGTTTGCTACCTCAATCCCACTGTCACCTACATTATGTATTTCTCCCAATGTTATCCCTCCCCAATCTCCCCAACTTTCCCTCCCCTAGCTCCCCACCCACCAACAGACCCCAGAGTGTGATGTTCCCCCCCGTGTCCATGTGTTCTTATTGTTCAACACCCACTTATGAGTGAGAACATGTGGTGTTTGGTTTTCTGTTCTTGTGTCACTTTGCTGAGAATGATATTTTCCAGAATCATCCATGTCCCTGCAAATGACATGAACTCATCCCTTTTTATGGCTGCATAGTATTCCGTGGTGTATATGTGCCATATTTTCTTTATCCAGTCTATCATTAATGGGCATTTGGGTTGGTTCCAAGTCTTTGCTATTGTAAACAGTGCCACAATAAACATACATGTGCATGTGTCTTTATAACAGAACGATTTACAATCCTTTGGGCATATACCCAGTAACAAGATTGAAGGGTCAAATGACACCACTATTTCTAGATCCTTGAAGAATCGCCACATTGTCTTCCACAATGGTTGAACTAATTTACACTCCCACCAACAGTGTAAAAGCATTCCTATTTCTCCACATCCTCTCCAGCATCTGTTGTCTCCAGATTTTTTAAGGATTAGCATTCTAACTGGCATGAGATGGTATCTCAATGTGATTTTGATTTGCATTTCTCTAATGACCAGTGATGATGAGCATTTTTTCTTATGTTTGTTAGCCACATAAATGTCTTCTTTTGAAAAGCGTCTGTTCATATCTTTTGTCCACTTTTTGATGGAGTTGTTTTTTTCTTGTATATTTGTTTTAGTCCTTTGTAGATTCTGGATATTAGCCATTTGTCAGATGGGTAGATTGCAAAGATTTTTTCCCATTCTTTTGGTTGCCAGTTCACTCTAATGATTGTTTCTTTTGCTGTGCAGAAGCTCTTAAGTTTAATTAGATTCCATTTGTCTATTTTGGCTTTTGTTGTCATTACTTTTGGTGCTTTAATCATAAAGTCCTTTCCTATGTCTGTGTCCTGCATGTATTGCCTAGGTTTTCTTCTAGGGTTTTCATGGTGTTAGGTCTTATGTTTAAATCTTTAATCCATCTGGAGTTAATTTTTGTATAATGTGTAAGGAAGGGATCCAGTTTTAGCTTTCTGCACATGGCTAGTTTTCCCAATACCATTTATTAAATAGGGAATCCTTTCCCCATTGCTTGTTTTTGTCAGTTTTGAAAAGATCAGATGGTTGTAGGTGTGTGGCATTACTTCTGAGGCCTCTGTTTTGTTCCATTGGTATATATCTCTGTTTTGGTACCAGTACCATGCTGTTTTGATTATTGTAGCCTTGTACTGTAGCTTGAAGTCAGATAGCGTGATGCCTCCAGCCTTGTTCTTTTTGCTTAGGATTGTCTCGGCTATTCTGGCTCTTTTTTGGTTCCATATGAAGTTTAAGGTGGTTTTTTCAGTTCTGTGAAGGAGGTCAATGGTAGCTTGATGAACATAGCATTGAATCTATAAATTACTTTGGGCAGTATGGCCATTTTCACAATATTGATTCTTCCTAATCATGAGCATGGAAAGTTTTTCCATCTGCTTGTGTCCTCTCTTATTTCCTTGAGCAGTGGTTTGTAGTTCTCCTTGAAGAGGCCCTTCACATCCTTTGTTAGTTGTATATCTAGGTATTTTATTCTCTTTGTAGCAATTGTCAACGGGAGTTTGCTGATGATTTGGCTCTCTGTTTGTCTATTATTGATGTATAGGAATGCTTGTGATATTTGCACATTGATTTTTTATCCTGAGACTTTGCTGAAGTTGCTTATCATCTTAAGGAAATTTTGGACTGAGACAACGGGGTCTTATAAATATACAGTCATGTTGTCTGCAAATAGAGACAATTTTACTTCCTCTTTTCCTAATTGAATACCCCTTTGTTTCTTTTTCTTGCCTGTTTGCTCTGGCTAGAACTTCCAATACTATGTTGAAGAAGAATGGTGAGAAAGGGCACCCTTGTGTGGTTCCAGTTTTCAAAGGGAATGCTTCCAGTTTTTGCCCATTCCATATCATATTGGCTGTTGGTTTGTCATAAATAGCTCTCATTATTTTGAGATACATTCCATCGATACCTAGTTTATTAAGAGTTTTTGGCCTAAAGCACTGCTGAATTCTGTCAAAGGCCTTCTCTGCATCCATTGAGATAATCATGTGGTTTTTGTCTTTAGTTCTATTTATGTGATGGACTATGTTGATAGATTTACATATGTTGAAGCAGCCTCATATCCCTGGGATGAAGCTGACTTGATCGTGATGGATAAGCTTTTTGATATGCTGTTGCATTTGGTTTGCCAGTATTTTATTGAAGATTTTTACGTTAATGTTCTTCATGGCTATTGGCCTGAAATTTTCTTTTTTAGTTGTGTCTCTGCCAGGTTTTGGTATCAGGATGATGTTGGTCTCATAAAATGAGTTAGGGAGGATTCCCCTCTTTTAGTATTGTTTGGAATAGACTCAGAAGGAATGGCATCAGCTCCTCTTTGTATCTCTGGTAGAATTCAACTGTGAACCCGTTTGGACCCGGACTTTTTTTGGTTGGTAGGCTATTAATAGCTGCCTCAACTTCAAACCTTGTTATTGGTCCATTCAGGGATTTAACTTCTTCCTGGTTTAGTCTTTAGAAGGTGTAAGTGTCCAGGAATTTATCTGTTTTTTGTAGATTTACTGGTTTATGTGCATAGAGTTGTTTGTAGTAATCTCTGATGGTAGTTTGTATTTCTATGGGATCAGTGGTGATATCCCCTTATCATTTTTTGTTGCAACTATTCGATTCTTTTCTCTTTTCATTTTTATTAGTCT